TTTTGGAGACAGGGTCTCACTCTGTCTCGCAGGGTGGAATGCATTGGCGCAGTCTTGGCTCACTGCAACCTCCACCTCCTGGGTTCAAGCAATTCTTGTGTCTTAGCCTCCTGAGTAGCTGGGATTACAGGTGCCCGCCACCACACCTAATTTTTGTATTTTTAGTAGAGACAGGGTTTTGCCATGTTGGCCAGGCTGGTCTTGAACACCTGGCTTTAAGTGATCCGCCTACCTTGGCCCCCCAAAGTGCTAGAATTATAGATGTGAGCCAGCACGCTTGGCCAGGATAGTCATTTTTACAGAAGAAATACTAAACCGATATAGATAGAGAGGGACTGTTACATATATTGGAATTTGTACACGTGATGATTCATTGACATTAGCTTCTCCTAAGTACTGCTAGAATCGTGGCCTTGTCATCTTCCAAGTTTGGGCTGCGTCTGTCTAACTCTCCTGGTTTGCTACAGTGGCTTCCTGGCTGGTTTCCAGCTGCCAGTCTTTCCTGCCTTTGTCACACTCTACCAGAGTGATCTTTGTAAAATCTCTCTTTGTTCCTGTCATCCCTTTACTTAAGATCTTTCAGTGGTGTCTCAGTCTATTCAGGCTGCTGTAACAAAGTACCATAGACCAGGTGGCTTACCAACAACTGCCATTTCTCTCTCACAGTTCTGGAGGCTGGAAGTCCAAGATCAGGGTGCCAGCGTGTGGCCAGGTTCTTGTGAGGGCCCTCTTCTGGGTGCAGAGGACCAACCTCTGGTTATATAGCCATGTGGTAGAAGGGGTGAGGGAGGTCTTTGGGGCCTCTTTTATAGGGGCACTAAGCTTATTCTTATGTGCTCTGCCCTCTTAACCTAAATCATCTCCCAAAGTCCCCACCTCATAATACCATTCCTTTGGGAGTTGGGATTTCAACATAGGAATTTTGCAGGAACACAGACATTCAACCATTGCAAGTGGCTTCAAGTTTAAGCTTTGTGTCATGGCTTCTCAGACTTGTCCCTTGCCTTCCTTCAACTAATCAGGTCTGTTCTCTTGCTGGGTGGGGCTTTTTTTGAGGGTCTCACAGTAACCACTTTCTGTTTTTTTCCTCTGAGGTTTTATATAAGCGGTTCCTTTGCTGGAGGGCCCTTTTAATTTTTATTAAATAAAAATAAATAAATTTATTTATCATTTTTTGAGACAGAGTCTCGCTCTGTTGCCCAGCCTTGAGTACGGTGGCGAGGCCTTGGCTCACTGCAACCTCCGCATCCTGGGTTCATGTGATTCTCCTGCCTTAGCCTCCTGAGTAGCTGAGATTACAGGTGTGCGCCACCACGCCTAGCTAATTTTGTAGTTTTAGTAGAGATGGGGTTTCGCCATATTGTTCAGGCTGGTCCCAAATTCCTAACCTCAGGTGATTCGCCCGCCTGGGCCTCCCAAACTGCTGGGATTACAGGTGTGAGCCACTGCGCCTGGCCTGCTGGAGATTTCATACCCTTTTCCCCTCCTCTCTTTGTCTTCTGCATGCCCTCCCTGCTGCTTCTCATCACACATGTGCTCATCCTGCTTCTGCTCTCTTCTGGACTGGCTTCTTGAACGTTACCTCCCCAGAGCTCTTCCTTGTTATCGGTCCTTCCTGTCTTTCCTCCATTGTCCAGTTCTAGTGACCTCCTAGTTGCTCTTTTTTTTTTTTT